GTCTGTGAGATACAGTATGATGCTAGAGTCAACAGCTTAGCTTAGCATGAAGACAGGAAACAGGAGGATCGGATCATGGAGACTAGCCTTCTGTTAGCGGCTGAAACCGGTCAGCTGTGTGCGTCTCATCGTCGTCTTGAAATTAAGTCATAAATTAACAACTAACTGACACAATATTGGGATTGGAGAGGTAGCAAAAAGCTGCTATCAGATCCAGAAAACGCTTCTCTTCTGTCCCAGGATCGAGCTGCGAGCTGTGGGGAAGATCTCCGAGGGTGAGGAGCTGACCGTGAGCTACGTGGACTTCCTCAACCTGTCTGCTGACCGCCAGAAGAACCTGAGGGAGAGTTTCCACTTCGAGTGCACCTGCCAACACTGCAGCGAGAAGATCAGTGACGACCTGATGACGGCCACCGCAGAGAAGGGAGGAAGCAAAGTCGGTTTAACATCAAATCTAACTTTATTTGTATAGCCCAATATCACAAAACACGTTTGTCTCTCAGTGGGCCATTTTTTGTTCTTTTGGCATTTCTTTGGCAGTCCTTTTTGAAATGTTATGTATATGATGGAGTTACAGCAACATGATAAAAGTCTCACCAAATACAGAATCCTTTCCACTTCTCTATTTACCTTTTTGAGGTCCTGTGTATTGATTTGTGTGCTGTGTCTCTCTCTCAGCCGTCTGCTGATAAGGTGAAGGAGATCATCGCCCTCAGTAAGGAGTATCTGGAGAAGATTGATATTGCCCGTATTGATCGGGACTATCATAAGGTACGCCACTTAAATCCTGGATTTATTATTGTTGGGAAAATCCTGAACGTCCTCTTCCAACATGAGAGCAACGTGATGACAAAGGTATCCCAACTGTAGCTGTGAACATGACAGGATGTGTGATTACCTAGAAGAGCATCAGGACTGTTTGAGGCAGATGATAGCTCTGTGATTAACATGATGATTCAGCCTCTATGGAGAGAGACATCAAGCATGCTCATTTCTGACGTGGAGCTAATCTGAAGTAAACATTGAATACTGCTTTCTATTCCTCCATCTTGTGACTGTGTGACTCCCTCTCTTGGATATCAGCATGTGAAGGACACTGTTCAGGAACTAGTTGATGCTCTGTATGTGATGACTCCTTCCATTCTGGAGAGCATCCTGAGACATGGATTGTCTTTCACATAATGCTTCACCATCTTCCTGGTTACTGTGTTGTCTCCCAGGTGGTGACCTTGTGCTGTGAGTGTCTGGAGAAGCAGGAGAACGTGTTGGCCGACACTAACCTGTTGAAGCTGCGTGTGTTCAGCATCACCAGTGAGGTGCTCTCTTTCCTGCGCAACTTCTCCGAGGCTTCAGACTACGCCCGCCGGATGGTGGAGGGATACACGTGAGTAATATGACTCAACACAACCATGATTACACTGAAGACACCAGGCATCAGTCTGTCAGCTCATAGAGTCCTATTGTGAACCCCAGAGAGGGCAAAAGTACACACGTCCTTTACTCAAGTAGAAGTACAGAGACTCGTGTTTAAAAATACTCTGGTGAAAGTAGAAGTACTGACTAAACTTCTTTACTCAAGTGAAAGTAAAGAGGCTTTGAAATGTACTTCAGTAAAAAGTACCCATAGCTACCAGCTGCTTTAAAGAGTACCTGACCTCCCTTTATATTAATAGAACAATAATGTCATTGTTAGCTAATGAATGTTTCCATGCTGAACAACGGCAACATGACAACGTTTCCATTGGTCCCTCTTCTTTAGAGGAGACCAGGAAATGATGGATACACGGATCGTGTTCAAATCAATAGGCACGCAATGACTCTAAAGAATAATGATCACGCATCAAACACACATTCAGACTAAAGGAACCAGCTGTTTGGGAAATGAGAGAAGTAGAAAGTACAAGTATTTGTGTTCAACATGTAAGAAGTAGAAAGTACAGGTATTTGTGTTCAACATGTAAGAAGTAGAAAGTACAGGTATTTGAGTTCAACATGTAAGAAGTAGAAAGTACAGGTATTTGTGTTCAATATGTAAGAAGTAGAAAGTACAGGTATTTGTGTTCAACATGTAAGAAGTAGAAAGTACAAGTATTTGAGTTCAATATGTAAGAAGTAGAAAGTACAGGTATTTGTGTTCAACATGTGAGAAGTAGAAAGTACAGGTATTTGAGTTCAACATGTGAGAAGTAGAAAGTACAGGTATTTGAGTTCAATATGTAAGAAGTAGAAAGTACAGGTATTTGAGTTCAATATGTGAGAAGTAGAAAGTTCAGGTATTTGAGTTCAATATGTAAGAAGTAGAAAGTACAGGTATTTGAGTTCAATATGTAAGAAGTAGAAAGTACAGGTATTTGAGTTCAACATGTAAGAAGTAGAAAGTACAGGTATTTGAGTTCAACATGTAAGAAGTAGAAAGTACAGGTATTTGAGTTCAACATGTAAGAAGTAGAAAGTACAAGTATTTGAGTTCAATATGTAAGAAGTAGAAAGTACAGGTATTTGTGTTCAACATGTAAGAAGTAGAAAGTACAAGTATTTGAGTTCAATATGTAAGAAGTAGAAAGTACAGGTATTTGTGTTCAACATGTGAGAAGTAGAAAGTACAGGTATTTGAGTTCAACATGTGAGAAGTAGAAAGTACAGGTATTTGAGTTCAATATGTAAGAAGTAGAAAGTACAGGTATTTGAGTTCAATATGTGAGAAGTAGAAAGTTCAGGTATTTGAGTTCAATATGTAAGAAGTAGAAAGTACAGGTATTTGAGTTCAATATGTAAGAAGTAGAAAGTACAGGTATTTGAGTTCAACATGTAAGAAGTAGAAAGTACAGGTATTTGAGTTCAACATGTAAGAAGTAGAAAAGTACAGGTATTTGAGTTCAACATGTAAGAAAGTAGAAAGTACAGGTATTTGGGTTCAACATGTAAGAAGTAGAAAGTACAGGTATTTGAGTTCAATATGTAAGAAGTAGAAAGTACAGGTATTTGAGTTCAATATGTAAGAAGTAGAAAGTACAGGTATTTGAGTTCAACATGTAAGAAGTAGAAAGTACAGGTATTTGAGTTCAACATGTAAGAAGTGAAAAGTACAGGTATTTGGGTTCAACATGTAAGAAGTAGAAAGTACAGGTATTTGAGTTCAACATGTAAGAAGTAGAAAGTACAGGTATTTGGGTTCAACATGTAAGAAGTAGAAAGTACAGGTATTTGGGTTCAACATGTAAGAAGTAGAAAGTACAGGTATTTGAGTACATGTAAGAAGTAGAAAGTACAGGTATTTGAGTTCAACATGTAAGAAGTAGAAAGTACAGGTATTTGGGTTCAACATGTAAGAAGTAGAAAGTACAGGTATTTGAGTTCAACATGTGAGAAGTAGAAAGTACAGGTATTAGAGTTCAACATGTAAGAAGTAGAAAGTACAGGTATTTGAGTTCAACATGTAAGAAGTAGAAAGTACAGGTATTTGAGTTCAACATGTAAGAAGTAGAAAGTACAGGTATTTGGGTTCAACATGTAAGAAGTAGAAAGTACAGGTATTTGAGTTCAACATGTAAGAAGTAGAAAGTACAGGTATTTGAGTTCAACATGTGAGAAGTAGAAAGTACAGGTATTTGAGTTCAACATGTAAGAAGTAGAAAGTACAGGTATTTGAGTTCAACATGTGAGAAGTAGAAAGTACAGGTATTTGAGTTCAACATGTGAGAAGTAGAAAGTACAGGTATTTGAGTTCAAACATGTAAGAAGTAGAAAGTACAGGTATTTGGGTTCAACATGTAAGAAGTAGAAAGTACAGGTATTTGAGTTCAACATGTAAGAAGTAGAAAGTACAGGTATTTGAGTTCAACATGTAAGAAGTAGAAAGTACAGGTATTTGAGTTCAACATGTAAGAAGTAGAAAGTACAGGTATTTGAGTTCAACATGTGAGAAGTAGAAAGTACAGGTATTTGAGTTCAACATGTGAGAAGTAGAAAGTACAGGTATTTGAGTTCAACATGTAAGAAGTAGAAAGTACAGGTATTTGGGTTCAACATGTAAGAAGTAGAAAGCACAGGTATTTGAGTTCAACATGTAAGAAGTAGAAAGTACAGGTATTTGAGTTCAACATGTAAGAAGTAGAAAGTACAGGTATTTGAGTTCAACATGTAAGAAGTCAAAGTAAAAAGTCGTCATAAGTACTGATACCAGAAAAATGTACTTAAGTACAGTAACGAAGTATTTGTACTCCACTACTACTTCCAACACACTCAGTAGGATACTTCATGTGTTTCTTTAGGAAGCTGTGTCACCCTAACAACGCTCTGCTGGGGATGGCCACCATGAGAGCCGGAGTCACTCACTGGCACGGCGGACAGATCGAGGCCGGACACAAGTTCATCTGCAAGGCTTACGGCATCCTGATGGTGACGCACGGACCCAACCACGCTATCACCAAGGACCTGGAGGTACAGGGTGGAGAGATGGATAGATTTAGCTTATTTGTTCATAGTGTCGTGGACAGTCCATTGATCAGCTGTCACAAACACAGTACACAGAGCAGCTTTAGCTCATTTCCAGCTGTTGTCCAGATGATATTAGACACCTTTTTTAAATCACAACACATCAACAGCATTAGTTATAAAGAAAGGATGAAAGACAAGTAGATACAGGCGAAAGGATAAAAGAGAACAATAAAATGCAAACAATACACGTTACTACGTACATGTCACATATAGCACATCACAATTACACAACAGAAACGAGGGGAAACATCCGTGATAGGTAGGTAGATAGATGGATGGATGGACAGATAGATAGATGGATAGATAGATGGATGGATAGATAGATGGATAGACAGATAGATAGACGGATAGATAGATAGATGGATAGACGGATAGATGGATGGATAGATAGATAGACGGATAGATAGATAGATGGATAGATGGATAGATAAATAGACGGATAGATGGATAGATGGATAGACGGATAGATGGATGGATAGATAGATAGACGGATAGATAGATAGATAGATAGACGGATAGATGGATAGATGGATAGATGGATAGACGGATAGATGGATAGACGGATAGATGGATGGATAGATAGATAGACGGATAGATAGATAGATAGATAGACGGATAGATGGATAGATGGATAGACGGATAGATGGATAGATAGATAGATAGACGGATAGATAGATAGATAGATAGACGGATAGATAGACGGATGGATGGATAGATGGATAGACGGATAAATGGATAGATAGATAGATAGACGGATAGATAGATAGATAGATAGACGGATAGATGGATAGACGGATAGACGGATAGATGGATAGATGGATAGATGGATAGATGGATAGACGGATAGATGGATGGATAGATAGATAGACGGATAGATAGATAGATAGATGGATAGATGGATAGATGGATAGATGGATAGACGGATAGATGGATAGATGGATAGATAGACGGATAGATAGATAGATAGATAGACGGATAGATGGATAGATGGATAGACGGATAGATGGATGGATAGATAGACGGATAGATAGATAGATAGATAGATAGACGGATAGATGGATAGATAGATAGATGGATAGATGGATAGATAGATGGATAGACGGATAGATAGATAGATAGACGGATAGATAGATAGATGGATAGACGGATAGATGGATAGATAGATGGATAGACGGATAGATAGATGGATAGATGGATAGATAGATGGATAGATGGATAGACGGATAGATGGATGGATAGATAGATAGATAGACGGATAGATGTATGGATAGATGGATAGACGGATAGATGGATAGATAGATAGACGGATAGATAGATGGATAGACGGATAGATGGATAGATAGATGGATGGATAGACGGATAGATAGATGGATAGATAAATAGATAGATGGATAGATGGATAGACGGATAGATAGATAGATAGACGGATAGATGGATAGACGAATAGATGGATAGATAGATAGATGGATAGATGGATGGATAGACGGATAGATGGATGGATAGACGGATAGATGGATAGATGGATAGATGGATGGATAGATAGATAGATGGATGGATAGACGGATAGATAGATGGATAGATAGCTAGATGGATAGATGGATGGATAGACGGATAGATGGATGGATGGATAGACAGATGGATAGACAGATGGATAGATAGATGGATATATTGATAGATGGATAGACGGATAGATGGACGGATAGACGGATGGATAGATGGATAGACGGATAGATGGATAGATGGATGGATAGATAGATGGATAGATAGATGGATAGACGGACAGATAGATGGATAGATAGATGGATGAATGGATGGATGGATAGATAGATGGATAGATAGATGGATAGACGGATAGATGGATGGATGGATAGATGGATAGACAGATGGATAGACAGATGGATAGATGGATAGACAGATGGATAGACAGACGGATAGATGGATAGATAGATGGATAGACGGATAGATGGATAGATAGATGGATAGACGGATAGATGGATAGATAGATGGATAGACGGATAGACGGATAGATAGACGGATAGATAGACGGATAGATGGATAGACGGATGGATAGATGGATGGATATACGGACAGATAGATGGATAGATAGATGGATGGATAGATAGATGAATAGACGGATAGATAGATAGATAGATGGATAGATGGATAGACGGATAGATGTATGGATAGATAGATAGACGGATAGATGGATGGATGGATAGACGGATAGATAGATAGATGGATGGATAGATAGATGAATAGACGGATAGATAGATAGATAGATAGATGGATAGACGGATAGATGTATGGATAGATAGATAGACGGATAGATGGATGGATGGATAGACGGATAGACGGATAGATAGATGGATAGATGGATAGATAGACGGATGGATGGATAGATAAATAGATGGATGGATAGATGGATAGATAGATGGATAGACGGATGGATAGATAGATGGATAGACGGATGGATGGATAGATGGATAGATGGAAAGATGGATGGATGGATGGATAGATAGATAGATAGATGGATGGATAGACGGATGGATAGATAGATGGATAGATAGATGGATAGATGGACAGATAGATAGATAGATGGATAGATGGATAGATGGATAGATAGATGGATAGATGGATAGATAGATGGATAGATGGATAGATAGATAGATGGATGGATGGATAGATGGATGGATAGCTAGATGGATAGATGGATGGATAGATAGATGGATAGATGGATGGATAGCTAGATGGATAGATGGATAGATAGATAGATAGACGGATGGATAGATGGATAAATAGATAGATAGACGGATGGATGGATGGATGGATAGATAGACAGATAGATATATATATGATGGATAGACGGATGGATAGATGGATGGATGGATAGATAGACGGATGGATATATAGATGGATGGATAGATATATAGATGGATAGATAGATAGATGCATCCAAATTCTCTTACCAACCTTCTTTTCTTCCTTCAGTCCATGCGCACGCAGACTGAGCTGGAGCTGAAGATGTTTAAGGAGGACGATAAGAAGTACCAGAGCATGAGAGACGCCGCTCTGCAGATCACCGTCTGAATATGAGGAAGAGGTCTTTACTGCAAGACCCTCACCTTCATCACCTTCATCACTGAAACATGACGTGTTCATGCAGTATGTCTGATATTACACTGTTCTGTTTAAACTAATAAAACAGTCCAATAAAAGTGAAGGTAAATGTGTTTTTATCACTCGTACACAAACAAACATACGGAGTTATGAGTCCATCAACCCCTCCTCCACCCAAGCATTATTCATTAAGTAAACTGTCAAATCTATTGTCTCTACATCTCATCTCCAAATAATACTGTGTTAGTCTAGTTTGTAGCTTAGTGAACCTGGAAATGTTGAATACAACGTTTTATAGAAATGTATAATAGCGTCCCCAGCACATAGAAACTGCCAGATGCTAACTTGCAGATGTTGGGTAATTTTCAGAGTTAGCATTAGTGTTAATTAGCATTTATGGCATTATCGCCTGTATACAATAGTTAACAACAATATTGGAGTGGTTTTGGGGTTACTGAAGAGTCCATTTCTGACATTTCCAGGATGAAAAATGTCAGTTTTAACTAGAAAGCGGACTCTCTGTACTCTCTGTGGGCTGATTTTGACGACCATGAGTAGTGTTGCATCCATTGGATATAGAGAGCACAAGATGAACATAAGTATCTCTACTGTGGCTGATGTTTTTACACATAAATAAGCAATCTGTCCAATCCAAATGTCCCCTAAATCTTCCAAATCGACCCAAAATGAATCATAATCAGCCCAGAGAGAGATATTGACATTTTCTGGTTAAAACGGACATTATTTTTATCCTGAAAATATCAGAAATGGCATCCGGCAGTTTCTATGTGCTGGATGCTGCATACATAAAACGTTGGGGTACTCAACAGTTACGGGTACCCAACAGGACTCTGATATTCTAAAACAGCTTGTTATAATAATAATAATTCCTTCCATTATAGCGCTTTTCCAGATGCTCAAAGCGCTTTACACATTACACACATATCATACATGTAACGGTCATGTACTGTGGACAGTACCCACAGGAGCAAATTCAGGTGAAGTGTCTTTCCCAAGGACACACCGGCTTTCAGGGTTCATACACTTTTTCACCAATGATTTTCCATGACCTAATTTTCCATGACCAAAACAATTACTCTTTCTCAGCGGTACATGGAACAGGAAAATAAGGTCTGAAACATGTTGTGCCTAAAACAAATCAAATAGTAGGCTTACTAGCTAACTAAAATCTCTCACCAGCAAAATACCTCGACAGTTAAATGCCATTTTACGTTTCATTACTATACGATACAGTATTTATTATCATTATATTACTATTTCGGCGATTAGATCAAATATAAATTATATTTGATGCAACTTTAGTTAAATTTCCATGACTTTTCCAAAACTTTGGGAAAAATATTGTTTTCCAAAACTTTTCCAGGGCCTGGAATTAGCATTTTTAATTTCCATGACTTTTCCAGGTTTGTAATGACCGTAACCCCCTGATCCCACCGGAAGCGTCTGCGCTGCGACCTCCTCCTGCGTCATAACCCACCAGGCGCGTTTCAAAACGTTGCGGAAGCGGAGCGTCGTGTGTGCAGCCTCGCAGTTGTTGGATGAACGTTCCACTTCCTGCCTGCGCCGCGTAAAAATAGGATTCATCCTATATTTTAGAAATTCCTTGCGGCGAGGAGCTTCTGGGACGCTTCGAGCCGCGGCGCAGCGGGTCTGGTGGAATAGCACCCATTGACTAGAGTGGCCGCGATCGCTAAAAACGCCGCAGCCGCAGCGCAGACGCTCCTGGTGGGATTAGGGGGTAAGAACCCTGTGCTTTTCAGACGCAGCGGCGGCGGGTTTCGAACTGGTGTTCCCCAACGCCCCCTTGATCTGATGATCAACGCACAGCCCACTGCGCCACTCCGCCCATCTTCACACCTCAAAGTCATCAAGGCGCTTTACAAGTACACATTACACACATATCATACATGTAACGGTCATGTACTGTGGACAGGAGCTAATTCGGGTGAAGTGTCTTGCCCAAGGACACAACGGCCTGACGCAGTGGCGGGTTTCGAACTGGAGTTCCGCAACGCCATCTGATGATCAACGCACAGCCCACTGCGCCACGCCGTCCCTTATATTGAAATACCAGGAAATTAAAGATTGATATTGCTTTAATACAAGAGATAATGATTACCTTTACAGACAGTGATAGAGGAGACGAGGTGAAGCTACTGAAGGAAGAAGATCTGAGATATTTCAAACATGAAAAACCACTTTTATTGGAAGTATTGACAGATATGTCCTATTATATAGGACGATAAGAATCCACTTTATTGACAGAAAGAAGCAGAATCTAAAGGGGAAACCAAAACGGTATCAAAACGTGTAAAATAGAACAGTTTCTCATCATAGGTCACAGTTCATGGGCATCTGCATAGGGGTCAAAGGTCAAAAACAGTCTTATTTACTGAAGCAGTGCATTTAGCTTTTAGTTCAAATCTCTCTTTTAATCCACTGTGCCATCATGATAACAAAGTTTTACTTATTATAATTTCCTTTAGAATTACAGAAAGACAGATATCCCTTATTAAATAAAAACATATTCTAAACACAATTTTTAATTAATTCAATATATATATATCACAACAAGGAGAAACATATCTTCCGAAGCCACTGCATAAAAGATAATTTAACAAGTCATTGCTGTACATTACATGAGTGTTTTCCAGCCGGAGTCCATTAGAAATCACAAAGCGTTTAAACCAGGGGGGAAAACTCCGTTTCATCGTGGGCCACATCAACTCAAAGGGCCGGTTGTAACTTTAAGACTATATAAATAAATAATGTTAATTATTACATGCCTTAGTTGAATACTCGATTCTGAATGGTCAATTCAGAACACGCTGTCAAGGACTTATTGACCGTTGTTAAGGACGCTTACATCTGCAGAAAGAAGTTCGGTCGATTGAACTTTATACAGTTTTTTCAAACTGGGACAAGAAAACAGCGGAGAAGTAACGGGGCAGAAACCCTCCTTTTTACGCAGCGGTCCAGACATAGACATCAAACGGCGACACATATTCAGTGCAGGGCTTCAGTTAGCCGGTAATTACCGGTTTTTAGCTGGTAAAATTGAATAAAAACCGGTCAATTCAAAACCTGCCGGTCAAAATGTCCGATGCTCCGATCGATTGGCCGCCGATCATTATCGGCCGATATTCACTCTTAATAGTTTGATCGGTGCTCTCTATAAAGGCCGATCAGCAGAGCTGGATCTGATCGATATGGACATAAACGCGAATGAAGTATAACCGGACCCGAGAGAGAGATCAGATCAGCTGCTGAGTCTGACCTGAAGCCCCGCCCACTGTTTAGCGCTGCATGAGAAACTTAGGGCTGTCAGGAGAGAGAGAGAGAGAGAGAGAGAGGGAGAGGATCCGTTTCTCCCGTGTTATTATTCAAAGTTAATGTAAACTTTTGAATAATGTACTTAATCTACTACAAGTAGTTTATTTGAATGTAATAATTATGTTGTTTGTTGTTTATGGAATCATTTATTGAAAAATGAATCTGAATTTTTCAATCTGTTACGATTATAAACTGAAGTAATATAAAAATGACTCCCATTAACTGACTTTTAAACATCAGCATATCCGGTCCTAGTCCGGTAATTACCTGCTAACGGAAACTCTGCTACACAACTCTTATTATTATTATTGAAACATGACCGGTAAGTTTCAAATTTGTCCGATAAAATTAATTCTGTTCGGACATTTGACCGGCGAGAAACAATCCTAGCGGAAACCCTGGTTCAGTGTGCAGTTCCTTTGGCATCAGGGCAGGGATATCTAGATACTTCCCAAGGCTTGACTCATGAATTGTGCTACTTTTAAAGCAAGCAACAATATTTTCAAATCTGTAATCAAAAAGCTCCTCAAAAACGCTATCGAAGCGGTTCCTGCCGTTGCTACGGTAACAACGGACTATTTTTCTTAGCGGATGCATGTCAATTTAAATAAGTAATAGCGTGCTATTTTTTAAATCCATAAAAACATTTTCTAAATCTATAAAAGCATTTCAATTAACACTGGGAGTCATATCGTTACTTTGTTGAGAATGTGGCCGTGTAATAAGCGGGATAATGTGCAGCGACGCGGTCATTACGATGTTCTTTCCCCGTAATGACCGCGTCGCTGCACAATATCCCTTACTTAAATAATGTATTATATTAAATTATTGCCTCTGCGTTGGATTATTATCAGTTCTGGTAATAACTTCATAATGAACTACGTCTGAAAGCAGAAGTCTACGGCAAATAATTGCAAGTCTCTTCAGTGTGCATGTCACAAACTGAGATGCATTGTGGGACATGTAGTTTATGGGCTTCTGTAAAGCGGCATGTACAATTACACCCATTGTATATTATATTCTAAAATGAGTTTGACACCCCTGGTTCAAACCATAAATGAGATTTCGGGATAATTCATAAAAAGATATCTCAGATAAAGTGACAGCTGCGTGACGAGGAGTGTGTTCTCCTGAGAAGCCCCGCCTCCTCTTCCCTCTCATTGGACCACACAGAGGTCAGTGTTGGACTCAGTGTGAGGTTCACTTTCAGTTTCTACTTCTCTGAGCATCCTGTTGTAATCCTCTGCAGTCACCCCCGTGTCGTAAGAGGGCGGCTCCAGATTCTGCCTCAGCTCCATCAGCTGCTCTCTGCCGTCACTGGGGGGCAGATTACCCAAATAATACTGAGGGGAGAGCTCCACCAGCCTGAAGAGAGAGAGCGGGAGAACAGAGAAGATTCTTTTACAGATTACTGAACCCAGAGTACACCAAAGTATACGTCTTTGGGGTATAGGTATAGTATACAACCTAACTCCCTCTCAAACCAACATCATGCTTTCATGTTAAAGGTCACCTATCATGCTATCTTTAGGCAATAGCATAGGTCTCATATACAAATATATACAAAACATGTCTATGAAGTGTTTTGCTCCAAACACCAAACAGATCATTCTAGCCATGCCTCATACCCCTCTATTTCACTTCCTGTTTCTAAAGTGCTGATTTGGGTATAAATCTTTAAAGAGGAGGGGTCTGAGCTCATGCGGGACCCGGCAGCTACCGTCTAAACTAAATGCTGCCGTGATGAAACGCCATATCATGGGTTATCAAGGATTCTCTCTGAAACAGTTTGGAGCTCAAAGGCTTTCTCTCTTGCCGGTTATACCACAAGGTGAGTTCCTTTTTACTTCCTGCTTCTTCACACACATGCTCTCCAGTACAGGTTAGCTCTGAGTGTTAGCGATGCTAATGTAAACACCGACCATATTACGTCCAAAACAGTCGGGCATTGTTTCTGATAGCAACGTTTCTGATTGGGCCGTGGGTCCACATTTCAGATATTACGTCATATCGGACGCAAATCTGGATCAGCTCCGTTGTTCCCCGTTTTTAGAGATTTGGGTACGGAGGAAAAGAGAGAGGGGTTTTATTTCCTGACGCTGCGTGAGTTCCCCGACACACCGGGGACACATGTTGATGGAGAGAAGACATCACAAAGTGCATTTTGCATGATAAGAGACCTTTAACACATTAAAAAATACCCTGTTTGCCCAGAAATAAGACAACAATTATAAAAAGTTAAAAGGCCAACACTCTCAAAACACACTTATTCACTCTTGCTTTCAAACTCCGATCAACAAAGATTAGGACTATTGTTTATGTTTCTTTTGTTTTCTTTGTACTGTTTTCTGATTTTATGTAAAGCGTCTTTGAGCACCAGGAAAAGCGCTCTAAAAGTATTATTACTATCAATCTCCGTGTTGACTCACATCTGAGGGTGCACTTCGGAGGCGATGCGGATGCAGTTGTCGCAGGAGATGGTGAACTCGTGGTAGAGGACCCAGCTGGGGGGGGCGGGGCACGGCTGGAGACTCAGGTAGGAGGAGAAGGGGTGCAGGTGAGCCACGTGGCGGTGAGTCAGCAGGAGGTAGTTCCCTGAGCCGTCCACATCATGAGCCACCTGAGAGGACAACAACAACAACAATTAGCATCAACACAGCAAGAAGATATGGGGAGATTGATGTGAAAAATGAAGACATTTCAGTCAAGCAGGTTTGATCACATAATCCTTATATATTCACATATTGTGGGGGTGTATAAGAAATACATTGCCACAAAAATGTAACCTTGAGGAACACTGGGGGTTGTTTAGCATATCAGCATGCTAAGAAGCTAATTCGCAGGGTACTGCTCAGAGGCCTGTACTACGAAGCTGGTTCAACCTAACGTCAACTTAATGTGTTGCTATAATAGTGAGATTGCTCTGAAGATGGAGGTGATATTCTATTCATGTTCACGTTCACACAGTCGTTGATTTTTGCCGGCCGTCTTTCCTGCGACGGCAGCTTTTCTGTATTTCCTTTCTCCTGTAATATGACTTGATCGCTTTAAACTCCGCACACTGAGCTCTGATTGGTCAGCAGGCAGTGCTTTCACTGAGTTGAGCTCTTAGCCTGCAACCTAACCTGCTCCGGAGCAGGTTAGCCGCTAAGCATAAGTTACCATGGAGATCTAGCCCGCTAAAAAGAGAACCAGCTTCGTAGGACCGGAAACCCAGAGTTTTACCTGAAGTTAGCCGCTAGGAGAACATCCTGCTTCGTAGTACAGGCCTCTGGTCCATGAGTATTGAGGGTATTATTTGGTCATGAATCAAAGTACTGGACATATTATAATTTGGAGATCTGTGGTGCTAATTCTAAGTTAAGAGAGTTATACGTTATGGTATACATCATATATATAACTCCCAAAGATATTGAAGTGACTGTTATTTTGTATATATTGATTGTTGTGCTTTTAGCTTAAAGGTGGGGTAGGTAATTCCCTTCAGAAACACTTGTTATATTCCATGGAATGCTCTTAACATCCCGATAGCAATGAATAAATTAAATGCTTTGACAATAAATCCATAAAAAATGTCATCAGTTGAAGCCGTGGCGCTGTAAAAAGCACGACCAATCATCTGAGCCGGCTAAAGTAACTGGATGGCCTACCTGCCTGTCAGCCTTCCATCTGGGCACAAACTTATCTCGTGCCCTCAATGGTCACGTGCGCGTTCGTGTGTTGGAGGAGGGGCTCTGTAACGGCCCGTCCACACGGCGGCGTGCGTTGAAGTTTGAATTCTTCTGCCCATTCACTTTGGGTGACGTCACGCTTCGCTTTGCTCGCTTCAAAAGTTGAGCAATGTTCAACTTTTCAAGCTTCGACGGAAGCGCAGCCAATCAAATCATATTAAAACCGCGTGCTTGGTGATTGGTTGTTGGTCGAGTTTCAGACACGCCCACCGGCAGGCTTCAACGCACGCCGCCGTGTGGACGCTGCGTAAGGAACTCTGAAGGAAGGGGCAGATTTTTTTCGGCTGCGTACTTTCAAATTCTAGCGCACTCGAGCTGTTTCTCCATTCTTACCAACCTTACTTTTAATGTGTGCATATGTATAAATGTGTCTGTTGATTGTGTATTTATAGGTATATACATATTTTTATATATATTTGTATTTTTGAATTTGGGATTGTGGGAAACGATATCTCGATCTCTCTGTCCGTTCACACAAACTGAAAGAAACGTTGAGACTATATTCCTATGCCTCAGTTTAAAAATGAATAAACAGGGTGTTTACCTTGAGGAAGAAGCCTGAGATGAGAGCACGCTTGATGTTGGTGCAGTTGTCCTGGCATCCGAAATCAGGCGGAGAAACAGGAAGTTCTATTCTCTGCATCACCTCCAGAAGCTCCGCCCTGATCACCACAGCCAATCGTAAGGCTGCGTGACTCAGAAAGTTTGTCGTGCACCACGCCTCATCCTGGTGATCTGCAGTAAAGCCACACAGACGGTTCAATAACTCACAGATATATATCAGAAATGTTAGTAAAATATCCACAGTAATGCATGAATCCCACTCTTATAGAGTCAGGGCCGTCCCTGGCCAACACGAGGCCCCACGCAAAGTTATATGATGAGGCTCTCTGTTTCGCGAGCGTCGTCGTCGTCGACGGGGGGTGGGGTGCTAGAGGAGCCTTGCAGCAGCGAAACCGTGCCGCTCCACACTAATTGCGCCGCATAAGCACCAGTTAGGCATAAGCGCACATTTTCGCCTCCGCAAGGTGAGGCCCCCTCCGCGAGGTGAGGCCCCCTACGCGAGGTGAGGCCCCCTCCGCGAGGTGAGGCCCCCTACGCGAGGTGAGGCCCGCTACGCGAGGTGAGGCCCCCTACGCGAGGTGAGGCCCGCTACGCGAGGTGAGGCCCCCTACACGAGGCGAGGTGAGGCCCCCTACGCGAGGTGAGGCCCCCTACGCGAGGTGAGGCCCCCTACGCGAGGTGAGGCCCCCTCCGCGAGGTGAGGCCCCCTACGCGAGGTGAGGCCCCTACGCGAGGTGAGGCCCCCTACGCGAGGTGAGGCCCCCTCCGCGAGGTGAGGCCCCCTACGCGAGGTGAGGCCCGCTACGCAAGGTGAGGCCCCACGCAGTCTGCATGAATGGCCGGTAGGGAGGGACGGCCCGGTATAGAGCGGTGCAGTGACGAGTCCTAAAACGCGGAAGTGAGTTAGCATTTTAGCACTTCCGGTTCCCTCGTCTCAGAGCCAACGGGATTTTGGAAAATATCTGGAAATAAGGTCTGTGGTTGAGACACATTGAAGAGACAGATCACGTTTTGTTCTACGCCATTAAGTGACCCCACTGGTGGTTTCTGAAGAGTTGACGTGTCTGTGTCTGTGTCTGTGTCTGTGTCTGTGTCTGTGTCTGTGTCTGTGTCTGTGTCTGTGTCTGTGTCTGTGTCTGTGTCTGTGTCTGTGTCTGTGTCTGTGTCTGTGTCTGTGTCTGTGTCTGTGTCTGTGTCTGTGTCTGTGTCTGTGTCTGTGTCTGTGTCTGGGGCAGGGGCAGGGGCAGGGGCAGGGGCAGGGGCAGGGGCAGGGGCAGGGGCAGGGGCAACTCCTGAACAACAACAAGAAGCCCGCGTTTTATCCAGCTTGTACACAACGATGGAGAAACTTAACAAGCAGCAGTGGTCCACTGAAGAGACCAGCTACTTACTGGGAATCTTGTCTTCCGAAGAGGTACAGAGGAAGCTGGAGCACAATCGGCCATTGTTGTTGTTGTTGTCGGTGTCAGCTGTGAGGGGTTTCCGCACGCTTTGGCTTTATGAAGCAGGCACGCAAACGGTTACGTCATGACGCAAACGATGACGCAATGACGCAGCACCAGTCGGACTCTGGGCGGTGTGAAAAGAGCCGGAGCTAAACCGAAGAACCGGTTCTGAACCTGAAAAGCTCTAGCACGGAGCTTGAACCGGAGTTGCGTTGGTGTGAATGAGGTAAAAGTGTCCTCAAAGGGTTCCTGGCTTGTTAGTCATTTTAGTTTGACTTTGCCCGCTCCTCCAGTTTTATTTAGTGTTTATTTCTACCAGCTTTAATTTAATAAAGCTTGCCTTGTTGTCGGCTCTTTAATTCTGCATTTCGATCCTGATTCCCTTCCCTGTGAAAGTACAACTTGAGCCAGAACACAAGGGAAGACGGGCCTAAATACACACAAGACGGGTCAGGATGAAACACAACAGGTGAAGCATTACGTACGCTCCAGGTAGGTGCTATAGATGTTGATGAGAGTCATGTGGTCTCCCTCTGCGTGCATCAGGGGTTTCCACTGAGACACCGCCTCCTCTCTGCTGGGCTCCACTGTCACAAAGCAGGACGGAGCTGCAAGAAGACACATTATTCACACGGTTAAAGGCCTGTTAACCCTCAGATGCATAAGTCATCAACATTTCATATTCCAGCTATTCCTCAAAAAACATGTTTTGGATATCACGCCATTCACATTTTAAATTTACATTTTAAGATATTGTAGTTTTTGTATTTCTACCCCAAGCTTCAATAAGTGGGTCAAAAATGACCCGCATGTATTTTCTATGGGGTCCTCTGGGAACCTTTGATTCTTATCACCTGTTGCCGTCAGGACTACATTCACTGTGGGACACACAGACGACATCACAAGTGACACCTCTCAGGAAGATTATTTTACACAGCAAGATCTGAAACCTGTCAGTATAATAATAATACATTATATTTTTATAGGGCTTTTCAAGGACTCAAAATGGCTTTACAATATAAGGGAAGGTTAGGGGTGGGGGGTGTAGGACTATCAGACTTGATCAACTGGCATGGATTGATGGGGGGTGGGCTATGAGTAGACAAGAGGAGAAGAGATGAGTTTGGAAAAGGGACTGGAATACTGCGAGGGTCTCAGAATAGCGGAGATCTTTGCATCGATATGTTCAAAACGTTTTTTTCAAAATGTAAAAAAAAAGTCTAAAATTATAAATAGAGAAAAATTAAATATAAAATATTTCTAGAGTGAACCAAAATATAATACTAAATATTATACAACTGATTTCTCTTAACCAAAATGACAAAAAACGTAAAAAAACACAAAAAACACGTGCATAAAAACACATATTATTCTAATACGGGTCCTTTTTGACCCACTTATAGAAGAGAGTAGGGTCCAGTCACTCTAAGGGCATCTAAGGGTTGTTAAGTGGCCAAAATCCTATCAGTTTGTCTTATAACTCCTTATTCCAAAATGGTATGGGGCTGGGAAGCCGGGGCGGACTGGCCATCACCTGAGCAAGGCGAACCTCTTGCTGCAATAGAAAAATGCATTAATAAAAGTTGCAAATGGATCAAAATGAACTTAAATGAACTGACAAATTCTTCCTCACTATTGACAATTCCACAGTCCCACCCCCCCCCCAAGTTAAGAGTCTGGGTGTCATCCTTGACAGTGTTAGGGAATAATTTGCATAGGTATTCAACCTTTGACACAGTTCATAATTTTCTCCTCTCACTGTCTCCTTTCCCGTGGCATATGTCTACGGCCTTGGGTATTGCTGCTATCTCTCTGAAGGAGGAGCAGCTTGGGCGCATTGTTGTTGCCAGTGACAGAGCACAAGCCGCCATGAGGTAGTTTACTGTTCAGGGACGTAGGTTCCCTGGCACACACTCTTTTCTATGGACGAGAGCTCTAGTTAGATTCAGGGTCCATATTTGTTTTGTCTCACTGATGAAGAATATTGATTATTACACTCTGAACTAGCTCGAGCTGCAGAAAGAGTTCTTCAGAATTGGTTTGGCAACCACTGTGTCAACTCGTGACGCACCACCTGTCTTGTCAACTCTCCGGCCGTAACTCCAAATAAACCGTCAGTGTTTGCCATCAAAGCTCCAGCTCATCCCGTGTCTCCTTCATGAGTCGGTGACTCCTACTGCATTGCTACACAGAAGTTTCCTCCACAGACAGCACCTTATCATTTGAAGCTCACATCAACAACATCACTCGATCTGCCTACTTCCACCTCCGCAATATTAACCGCCTCCGCCCATCACTTACACCCAACAGCACCGCCATCCTCATCCACGCCCTCGTTACATCTCCATCCTCTCTGGTCTTCCTCACAAATCCCTGCGTGAGCTCCAACTGGTCCAAAACTCAGCCGCCCGTATCATTACCAGAACTCCTTCCACTAATCACATCACTCCGGTTCTCCAACAACTCCATTGGAGAGTTAAATACCGCATAGATTTTAAAGTGTTGCTCCTCACCTTCAAGGCCCTTCACACTCTTGCACCTCCATATCTCTCTGAACTCCTTCACACCTACACTCCCTCTCGTGCCCTCCGATCCTCCTCTGCCTTCCAGCTCACTGTACCTTCTTCCCGCCTGACCACCATGGGGTCAAGAAGAGCCTTCAGCCACTCTGCCCCCCGTCTCTGGAGCCCTCTCCCACAAGACATCCGCAATATGGACTCACTCTCAACCTTCAAATCCAGCCTGAAAACCCACCTTTTCAAACTGGCGTATTCAATATCTTAATTCCTCTAAACTGATTGTTGTTTTTAAGTCTTTGTTTTTAAGTCTTGTATGACTGTGTGATCTTCTTTGTTGCTTGTTTTTAATCATGCTCTGTAAGGTGTCCTTGAGAGCTTTGAAAGGCGCCCATAAATAAAATGCATTATTATTATTATTATAAATGCGGCTCCTACAAGGCTAATCCTCATTGTGAAAGTGAATGGATTTTTTTGTTTGTTACAAACAATAATACAGTATAATCAGAGCTGCACATAACTGGTGCGCACCTCGGCCAAAAAAAGAGCACCGGGTCATTTGAAAAAAGGCGCATTTGCGTTCCAACATTGAGAGAGAGGGAGGGAGAAGGGAGAAGAGAGAAGAGAGAAGAGAGAAGAGAGAAGAGAGGAGAGAGGAGAGAGAGAAAGATATTTGCGAGTTGCATATGAACCTATGATATGAACTCAGGGCCGGCCCGTAGCACTGGCGTTGATTTTCGCCTAGGGCGCCAGATCTGTGGAGGCGCTGCGCTGGCAGCTCTGGGAGGGAAACAAACATTTTTGACCGTTGGGGCTCATCCTAATTTTTTCTAACAACATTCATAATTAAGTAAATGTAACACCCTTTTCACCCCGGTTACACGTTTCATTTGCCTGTACTGCGAAGTGATGAAAATGGGGGATGTTGGCTTATCTGGCACCCGCAGCTCACAGCCAAAGTGCGAGTGAGCGAGGGAGGGTGCACCGGTACTGGCGCTGTTGTTATTAGAATCTGGTGCTAGCTGCGGATGTAAGAAGAAGATGTTTCTACAATAATGTGGAGGGAGAGTCGTCTCCAGTCAGACCGAGAGACTGATAACTACAGCTCAGTGAGGTAAAGGACTCTGAGGGTTTAGTTTAGTCTAAGTTCAAACGGTTTGGTCACAATTTATGTAAACACATATTTTCAAGGCACTCCTTTATAATTATTGGGATAAACAGGTTTGAAATCATTCCAATGTTTACTATAGGACAGTAACCAAACATCCTTTTAAAACTGGACTTTCGACCCAAACCCAGCTGTTGACTTGTGGATGCAAGCAGCTAATCGCAGACTCAACCAGAGAGAAAGTAGTAGGCCTACATCATCAGCTACCATGTCTGACAGAGAGGAAGACAGAGAGGAGAACAGAGAGGAAGACAGAGAGGAGAACAGAGAGGAGAACAGAGAGGAAGACAGAGAGGAGAACAGAGAGGAGAACAGAGAGGAGACAGAGAGGAAGACAGAGAGGAGAACAGAGAGGAAGACAGAGAGGAAGACAGAGAGGAGAACAGAGAGGAGAACAGAGAGGAGAACAGAGAGGAAGACAGAGAGGAGAACAGAGAGGAAGAACAGAGAGGAGACAGAGAGGAGAACAGAGAGGAGAACAGAGAGGAGAACAGAAGGAGAAACAGAGAGGAGAACAGAGAAGGAGAACAGAGAGGAAGGACAGAGAGGAGAACAGAGAGGAGAAGAACAGAGAGGAAGAACAGTCGAGGAAGAACGAGAGGAAGACAAGATATATGAGGAGAACAGAGAGAAGAAGAGAGAACCGGAGAGGAGAACAGTCGAGGAAGAACAGAGAGGAAGAACAGAGAGAGAAGAGGGAGAACAGAGAGGAGGACAGAGAGGAGACAGAGAGGAGACAGAGAGGAAGGAAGACAGAGAGGAGAGAGAGAGGAGACAGAGAGGAAGACAGAGAGGGAGAACAGAGAGGAGAACAGAGAGGAGAACAGAGAGGAGAACAGAGAGGAAGACAGAGAGGAAGACAGAGAGGAGAACAGAGAGGAGAACAGAGAGGAAGACAGAGAGGAGAACAGAGAGGAGAACAGAGAGGAGAACAGAGAGGAGAACAGAGAGGAGAACAGAGAGGAGAACAGAGAGGAAGACAGAGAGGAGAACAGAGAGGAGAACAGAGAGGAGAACAGAGAGGAGAACAGAGAGGAGAACAGAGAGGAGAACAGTCAGGAGAACAGAGAGGAGAACAGAGAGGAGAACAGAGAGGAGAACAGAGAGGAGAACAGAGAGGAGAACAGAGAGGAGAACAGTCAGGGAGAACAGAGAGGAGAACAGTCAGGAGAACAGAGAGGAAGACAGAGAGGAGAACAGAGAGGAGAACAGAGAGGAGAACAGAGAGGAAGACAGAGAGGAGAACAGAGAGGAAGACAGAGAGGAGAACAGAGAGGAGAACAGAGAGGAGAACAGAGAGGAAGACAGAGAGGAGAACAGAGAGGAGAACAGAGAGGAGAACAGAGAGGAGAACAGAGAGGAGAACAGAGAGGAGAACAGTCAGGAGGACAGAGAGGAAGACAGAGAGGAGAACAGAGAGGAGAACAGAGAGGAGAACAGAGAGGAAGACAGAGAGGAGAACAGAGAGGAGAACAGAGAGGAGAACAGAGAGGAGAACAGAGAGGAGAACAGAGAGGAGAACAGAGAGGAAGACAGTCAGGAGAACAGTCAGGAGGGTAGTGATGACAGCTTGTAGGATTACTGGTCGTGCTAATGTTGTCTTGTGTTCACCTCTGCATGTGTGTTCTGTGTTCACCTCTGCATGTGTGTTCTGTGTTCACCTCTGTGTGTTCTGTGCCGTGTGTCTGACAAATAAAGACCGGTTTATTTATTTCATTTTAAGGAGGAGCACCAGCAACATCTCCAGGTGCTCCTTTGAGAACCAGGGCAAACAAGTGATGTGCACCCCTGAGTATAATGTCTTTCAGTCACATTATCAGTTGTTCCAGTTGAATCGATACAATCCTGAATAGGTTTCAAGTATTAGACAACCAGTAACAGAGTACCACTCCAATTTATTTTTAATAAAGATGGCCTACCTTAGAAAGTAAGAAAAATAAACAAAAATAATAATGATGAAAGAGATTTGGATGGATTTGTATTATTGTGCAAGTCAAATGTCAGACTTGATCTGACCAATAAAGTATTATCGTATCGTATCGTGTTATCAACCAGTTGCCTCGCTGCAGTTACCTGTGAGCATGGCAGCGATAGTGAGCAGCTCGTCCACACAGTCGTACTCGCAGGCAGCGATCAGAGCTTTGGCCAGAGGCGGCTCCAAGGGAAGCTCCGACATTATGATGCCAACTTCAGACAGATTGCCATCATCATCCAGCGCCGCCAGGTAGTCCAGATCCTCCAGAGCCTGCATCAGAGCCTCAGGGGCTGGGAGAGAGGGACGCATGGAGGACAGATCAATATACAGGGGAGAGCAGAGGTGGCAAGAGTACACACATCCTTTACAAAGTAGAAGTACAGATATTCGTGTTTAAAAATACTCTGGTAAAAGTAGAAGTACTGACTAGAAGACCAGGAAATGATGGATACACAGATCGTATTCAAATCAATAGGCTCTAAAGAATAATGATCACGCATCAAACACACATTCAGACTAAAGGAACCAGCTGTTTGGAAAATGAGAGAAGTAGAAAGTACAGGTATTTGAGTTCAACATGTAAGAAGTAGAAAGTACAGGTATTTGAGTTCAACATGTAAGAAGTAGAAAGTACAGGTATTTGAGTTCAACATGTAAGAAGTAGAAAGTACAGGTATTTATGTTCAACATGTAAGAAGTAGAAAGTACAGGTATTTGAGTTCAACATGTGAGAAGTAGAAAGTACAGGTATTTGAGTTCAACATGTAAGAAGTAGAAAGTACAGGTATTTGAGTTCAACATGTGAGAAGTAGAAAGTACAGGTATTTGAGTTCAACATGTAAGAAGTAGAAAGTACAGGTATTTGTGTTCAACATGTGAGAAGTAGAAAGTACAGGTATTTGTGTTCAACATGTGAGAAGTAGAAAGTACAGGTATTTGGGTTCAACATGTGAGAAGTAGAAAGTACAGGTATTTGAGTTCAACATGTAAGAAGTAGAAGTACAGGTATTTGAGTTCAACATGTAAGAAGTAGAAAGTACAGGTATTTGAGTTCAACATGTAAGAAGTAGAAAGTACAGGTATTTGTGTTCAACATGTAAGAAGTAGAAAGTACAGGTATTTGTGTTCAACATGTGAGAAGTAGAAAGTACAGGTATTTGTGTTCAACATGTGAGAAGTAGAAAGTACAGGTATTTGAGTTCAACATGTAAGAAGTAGAAAGTTCAGGTATTTGGGTTCAACATGTGAGAAGTAGAAAGTACAGGTATTTGGGTTCAACATGTAAGAAGTAGAAAGTACAGGTATTTGTGTTCAACATGTAGGAAGTAGAAAGTACAGGTATTTGAGTTCAACATGTAAGAAGTAGAAAGTACAGGTATTTGAGTTCAACATGTAGAAGTAGGAAAAGTACAGGTATTTGTGTTCAACATGTGAGAAGTAGAAAGTACAGGTATTTGTGTTCAACATGTGAGAAGTAGGAAAGTACAGGTATTTGTGTTCAACATGTAAGAAGTCGAAAGTACAGGTATTTGGGTTCAACATGTGAGAAGTAGAAAGTACAGGTATTTGGGTTCAACATGTAAGAAGTAGAAAGTACAGGTATTTGAGTTCAACATGTAAGAAGTAGAAAGTACAGGTATTTGAGTTCAACATGTAAGAAGTAGAAAGTACAGGTATTTGAGTTCAACATGTAAGAAGTAGAAAGTACAGGTATTTGAGTTCAACATGTAAGAAGTAGAAAGTACAGGTATTGAGTTGAACATGTAAGAAGTAGAAAGTACAGGTATTTGGGTTCAACATGAAAGAAGTAGAAAGTACAGGTATTTGAGTTCAACATGTAAGAAGTAGAAAGTACAGGTATTTGGGTTCAAGAAGTAGAAAGTACAGGTATTTGAGTTCAACATGTGAGAAGTAGAAAGTACAGGTATTTGAGTTCAAACATGTAAGAAGTAGAAAGTACAGGTATTTGAGTTCAACATGTAAGAAGTAGAAAGTACAGGTATTTGAGTTCAACATGTAAGAAGTAGAAAGTACAGGTATTTGGGTTAAACATGTAAGAAGTAGAAAGTACAGGTATTTGTGTTCAACATGTAAGAAGTAGAAAGTACAGGTATTTGTGTTCAACATGTAAGAAAGTAAAAAGTTGTCAGAAAAATAAGTAGTGGAGTAAAGTACTAATACCAGAAAAATGTACTTAAGTAAAGTAACGAAGTATTTGTACTACTTCCCACCTCTGGCAATATGGTCTTATAATTCAACTCCAAGAGACGCACTTTGCTGTAAACTGGGAGTGCTGGACTTTGATCCTTTACCCCGGCGTAACATTCGCTAACTGGTGCCTTTATGATTTTAGCCGCTACACTCCTTTTTATTCTTGCTCTACAAACACTTTTTTGTAAACACAGATACCTGGTCTGTCCAGGAACTTGCACTGCCCCATGTCAGCGATATCCAGCCTCTTGAGCAGCAGCACCAGGTGGCTGAGGTTCTCCTCCTCTACCCCCGGACGATGAGCCTCCTCCATCCCCTCGTACAGAGACTGGGGGTAGAGACGGAGACACAGACCTGGAGACACACAAGGAGACACTATTTTAGGGATGGGAATTTGAAAGCAAATGTATATAACACCCCACACACACTCAGACACTCAAACCCAGCACCAGACACTTGTTTACGCAGCTATGAAGAGTCTTGCACTAATGTACATTTCCCAAAGATATTGAAGTGATTGTTATTTTGTATATTAAAGTAGTATAGTAAATGTAGTAAATGCAGGTTCTGGTCCAGGCTCTCGTCATCTCACGCCTAGACTACTGCAACTCCCTCCTGGCTGGTCTACCTGCATGTGCCATCCGACCTCTGCAGCTCATCCAGAATGCAGCGGCTCGTCTGGTCTTCAACCTTCCTAAATTCTCCCACACCACTCCGCTCCTCCGCTCCCTTCACTGGCTTCCGGTAACTGCTAGAATCCACTTCAAGACACTGATACTTGCTTACCATGCTGTGAATGGATCTGGCCCTTCCTACATCCAGGACATGGTTAAACCGTACACCCCAGCACGTGCACTACGCTCTGCATCAACCAAACGGCTCGCTGCACCCGCACTGCGAGGGGGACCCAAGTTCCCATCAGCAGAAACACGTGGGTTTGCTATCCTGGCTCCAAGATGGTGGAATGAGCTCCCCATTGACATCAGGACGGCAGATAGCTTACACACCTTCCAGACTGAAAACTCATCTCTTTCGACTCCACTTCGAGCGATAGAACTATTAACGAAGCACTTATATACTAATAAATGACTGGCTTATCTAAAGCCAGTTGAGTAGCACTTGAAATGTTTGGCTCTATGAACCTGATGTACTTTATGATTCTGTTTTCTTCAAGGTTGTGTCTTCCTGGTCGAATGTACTTATTGTAAGTCGCTTTGGATAAAAGCGTCAGCTAAATGCAATGTAATGTAATGTAGTATAGTAAATGTATTATTAGTGGGTTTAGGTGGGCACCTGGTGTAATTATATATATTGGGGACAGGTGTTTGGTGGCACCAGATTGAGCATTTGTTTTTTTTACCAGGAAAGGCTTCTGGAGAAACTTGTTCATTATGATATAGTATTATTGGGATACAACAAAATATCCCATTGTTCTTGAACATTATTCCTGCGTAAGATTCTCTCACTGGTGCCCCAGCTGCAGTTTTAGTTTAATTTGGCTGAAACACCAAACAGATCATTGCAGCATTACCCATAATCCCCTCTGTTTCAGCCCTGTTTCCAAAGTGCTGATTCTCTGTCTGTTACTTTAGATGAAAATAAGGAGCCCCTCCCCACGCCCCTCTGAGAGACATTTGGTTTACAAAGAACTCAAAGGAGCTCTAGAGCAGAAGATTCAGGTGATAAGGGGGGGGGGGGGGGGGGGGGGGTTACCCTGGTTGCTGATTGGCTAATGGTTACACAAGCCACAAAACATCGTATGACATCATAAAGTAGCCAAATCTGATCAGCTCATTTTCAGACAGGTTTTTATAGAAATGGATCAAACAGAGAAGAGTGAATCTTTGTTCCTGAAACTTTCAGAGTCTCTTTCCACAGAGGGGACACATGTTGATGTAGAAGAGACATGAAGAAGAGGGGACACATGTTGATGTAGAAGAGACATGAAGAAGAGGGGACACATGTTGATGTAGAAGAGACATGAAGAAGAGGGGACACATGTGATGTAGAAGAGACATGAAGAAGAGGGGACACATGTTGATGTGGTAGAAGACACATGGAGA